GGCAGGAAGAATTTTCCCTCCTCCCTCTACTCCTCACCCCAGGCCCTAGAACCAATAGCTTTCAGTGCTGGTCAAGAGAGGAAGGTACAAGGGCCAGGGTAAGGCCAAGGGACAGCCCAGGCTGTGGGAGGAGGAACAAAGCTGTCTTTTGTTATTTTCCCAAGGGGAAGGCACTGTCCTACCCACAAAGAGCCCAGGGGACAAAGGACCGGCTGGCATCTGGGGAGGGCTTCATGGAGCCTGGGATGCACCCCACGTCTCCTTCTGTTTCTTTGTTTTGTCAGGGCTGGGCATGGAACCCAGGGCCTCACACGTGCTGGGCAAGTGTTCCTCTGGAGCTGCACCCCCAGCTTCTCCCTCCCAGGCCCTCAGCAGCCAGGCTGTGTGCCCACAGCATGTTGCCTCCAGGAGCACATGATGGCACCTGCCCTGCAGGGCTGGATGAAGGCACGCAGGTCAGGGGCTCCGAGGGTATCCCAGGCCTGAGCATCCCCAGTGGGGCGCCCTCCTGTGCATTGCAGGGTGGATAACAGCACTCCGGGCTCTGCCTATGAGATGCTGGTAGCTCCTCACCCCAGTTGCAACAATTGAACTTGTCTCCAGATATAGCCAATGTTCCCCGGGAACAAATGTGCTGAAGACACAGCAGGCGCTGGGTCAGGGAAGGCAGCCAGGAAGTTTGGGGCTTTTTGTTAAGCATCCTCTATTTCTATCATACTTACTTTATCAGATGAGAAAACAGGCACAGATGTTAAGTACCTAGCCAGAGGACACACGGTTGGTCAAAGTCAGGCTTTGAACCCAAGCAGTGGGATGCAAACTCCCCTCTCCCGTGCTTGAGGCTTCCTACAGTCCAGGCTCCAGGGCGCTCCGTGTCTGAATGCCCATCTCTCCTCAGGAAAGCCTTCCTCAACGTTCTCGCCCTATCCTGCAGAGGAGCTGCTCCTTCCCCCTTGCCTCTCCTCAGCCAGGAAGGAGCAGGAACATTTACCGAGGCAGGGGCATCAGCTCACCATGCACACAAGGGCTGTGGGGTACCACGTGTGTGGTTCCACCTCACTGAGCCTCAGCCTCCTGTTCTGTAAAGTGAGCCCAGCAGTCCAGGGTCAGACAGTGGGGCTGAGGACACAGACTCTGAAGCCAGGATGCTGGGGTGTGAATCCCAGCTCAGCCGCTTTTCAGCCGTGGGAGCCTGGGCCAGTGACCGAATCACCTCATGCTTCAGTTTCTTTATCGGCATCCACAGATAGTAACGCCTGCCCCTCAGAGTCCTGAGGAGCATCAGTGAGCCAAGAAGTACATCCTACATGCACAGAACCTTGCTCAGGCCTGAGGACATTCTAGAGGGTTCTCTTCCAGGTAGCTCTTACGAAGTCCCTGGGGTGAGAGAAGAGAGTACGTGGCCCAGGACATCAACAAACTTGAGCTTGCTTCCTCTAGCCATTGAGGGACTGACATTTTCCTGGAGGGGAGCCTCGCATGGTTGAAGATAAATGTCTCTGTACAGCTTGCTGACAACCCTCTCCCAAAGGGGATGAGAGCAAAAGGGAAGGGAACTCCTCCTCCTTCGTCTCCTGTTCTTCCTCCTCCTCCTCTGAATTTCAAGGACAAGCAGACAGGGCAGAGGGACTGGAACCCCTATTTTGCAAATAACAGCAACAGCAGGGATGCTTTCCTGAGCACCTACTACATGCCAGGCCTTCAGGCTTTCCCGACACATGGCTGTCACCATGCCCGCTTTACGGATGAGGAAACTGAGGCTCATGGGAGGGGAGCAGTTTGCCAGGAGGCCTTGTGCATCTCTTCCTGACGCTCCTGGGTGGAGCAGTTGGGGCACACGTGTGAGACTTGTTCCAGGGCCCAGCACGCTTGACCCTGGCTGGGGTGCTGACTCTGGGTCTTCAAGGTCTGGGGTTGTCAGGAAATCCTGTGATCTGTCCAGAGGGCACTGTCCCACGGAGCTGGGTCAGGAAACGCAATCTTGCTCCCTGTGGCGTCCCCGGGAACCCTGTTTACACACCTGGCAGGACTCGGGGAAAGCAGAAAGTTGGCAGGGGCTCAGAGGAACAGCTCAGCAGCCAAGGGCTCAGTGCACCCACTTGGGTCCAGGCAGCAGGTCAAACCTGGTAGGGAGGACTTATGGGGCTGTGGGATGAGAGCTGTTGGGGCTGCCATGCTGAGATGAAGTCCCCACTCCGGGCCTCAGTTGTCCCAACTGAAAAGAGAAACGGCTGAAAACACTGATTTTGGCTCAAATGGTCCACAAATCCAGACCCGATCTGAGATTTTTAAAAGCGCGTGTGTCCTGAAACTTCAAGTTCACTCATTCAGTGCTTGTTTGCTGAGCGCATACTATGCGTTTGATGTTGTTCTGGATCATGGAGTTGCCAATGGGAACACGACTGACATGGACCCTGCCCTTATGCTGCCCACTGGGAGAGGCGGGCGCCGAACAAAGAAATGATCGTTTCAGGCCGAAATTAATAAATGCCATGAAAGCAATAAAACAGGAAGCTGTTTTCGAGAGGGCTTTGTGGGATGAGGGGGCCAAGTGTTCTTGCAAGGGACTCACCGAAGAGAGCTCCTAGGAGAAGCTGCCACGGGCGCTACGACTAAATAACCAGAGAAGGTGAGGAGCAAAAGCATCCCAGGGAACAGCAAGTGTAAAGCAGAGGCAGGAAAGCCCTGGGCAGGTCTGAAGAACCAAAAGGCCTAGCAGGCTGAAGCCCAGGGAGAAGAGGAAGGCGCTAATCCCGATTTCTAGTTTCTGTATTTGACGCTTGGACACCCTGAAGGGGCTGTGCCTCTCGGGGTTAGCCAGTCCCGAGAGATGGTTACCCACTAGGCTGCAAGCAATGCTTTCCTGTGCAAACCAGACAATCGAGACCCCACTCCCTGACTACCCTCGTCACCCAGGGCCAGGTGCCAGACAACTGGACAATGAGAGAGGTCCCTGTGCCCCAGACTCCCTCGGATTCTTCAGTGTTCCGGGAGCCTCGGTCCCTTCTCTCTGCACCTCACCCCATCCAACTCAAATGATAGACCCACCCAGTCAGGAAGCCCTCTTGGCCTGCCAGCCTGGCCCTAGAGCTTTAAGGTAGCCACAGAGCTTGTCCCATCACTGGATTTCCTGCACCCAACACCATCTCTCAAATGACCCTAGGATCATTCCCAGAGTGCACCTGCACAGAAAGGTAAAGACTCTTTCCCTGAGTCACATAGCTTATCAGGGCAGGGGCCAGAGATGAGCTCATACCCAAAGGCATCCAAAGCCTGGAGTTTCTTCACCAAGCCCAGATCTCTCTTGCATCCCAAGAATGGAGGGCTCACAGGTTGGGACGCGTCTGTGCACTGTGGACAATGAGCACACCAGAGTTCAGGGCAGAGATGAGGCTGCATTGGCCACTCCCCTCCTGGAAGCAGCGGTCTTGGGAATGGTACCACCATGGACTCGTGTCCTGTTGCTGCTGTAACAAATTATCCAAAATGTAGGGATTTAAGGCAACACAAGGGTTTCAGTGACACTGCTTTAGAGGTGGGAAGTCTGACCTTGTTTTTACGATGCTAAAGGCAAGGTGTCACCAGGCTGGTCCCCAGGGAAGCACCAGAAGAGGCTCCACACTTGGGCCTCCCCAGCCGGGAGGTCGCTTGCATCCCTCAGACATCATCTGGTTCCCTTCGGCTCTGCCTCCTCCTCCGGTGAGGACCCTTGTGAACGCACAAGGGCTCACAAGATCATGACGATGCACCCATCTCCCTCCCGCCAGGTCCCCTTCCCAGACCCACTGAGGCACACAGGCTAGGGAACTGGGCCACCATCTGCAGTACTGAGGACACCACGGAGCTGGGGCTGACAGCCAGCCTCACTCACACCCTTGTCAGAAGAGGAAGAGGAGTCCTAGTAGTTAGTAGCAGTGTGAACATTGCTTAACTTCTTGGCGCCTCTCTTCCCTCATCTGTAAAAATGAAGACAGTCACTATTGCTATTTCTTCAGGCTGCTATGGAACATAATGGGCTAAAATGCGTACGGCAGGCAAAGCAGCACATGGTGACGTGCAGGGGGTGGGAGTGTGGCTGCTGTCAAGATGCAACATCTGTGTCTTCTCAGAACAGACCCATCCAGGGGGTACAGGTTCTCTCCACTTCACAAATGAAGGGACCGAGGCCCGGAAACTCCAGGAGAATCCTGCCCTCTTTGTCATTTCAGAGCCAAGGCCCAAGTCCAGGTTACCCAACTGCAGGGTCCGAGCACTTTTCATCATGTAACCTCGGAGCCTCAGTTTCCTGGTCTGCAAAATGGGAACGCCAAGGTGCACCTTCCGCGTTGAGTTTAAAGGAAACATTTACATCACAGGCACAAGAGATTCGATTTCATGGAGCCCAGTTAGTAAACAAGAGGAAAGCTGACCCCGTGGTCATGTTGTAAAGGAAGAATTTGAGGCCCAGGGAAGTAAAGTGGCCTGTTCAAGCTCACAGAGCAAGTCTGTAAAATGAGAATCCAGCTCTGACCCAAAGCCTAAGCTTGGGAATGAAATGGGCATTATGCTGGAATTAGACACATGTCAGAAAATGGGCCCCTGACCTTTCAGGCGTACTCCAGTCCCTGAAGAGATTCCTATCCCAGGGCAAGTCTGCCACGAGCCCAAATGACACTTTCATTCAAACTAGAAAGGGCTCTTTCTCATATGGCACTGGGGCACATGTGGCACAGGGGTGCAGGTTGGTTCGGCCTCACTCATCTCCTCAAGGCCCTTGTTCAGTGCACAACCTACACAACATCCTACAGCAGCTCCACCTAGAACATCCCCAAACTCCTCCTCTGCAAAGCACCCTTCCAGTCGCTGTGAGCACCACTGCTCCCAGCGGATACAAGGCAGGAAAAGGAGGCAGACTTTGCAAACAGATGGGACGGGTGCTTCTTTGCAAGCCTGTTTTAACAGTCTTATATGCGCCCTCCACCTATCCAAGGCCACCCCCCAAATCTCCCAAGTTAGCCGACCTTGAAGGCAGGCCCTGGCAGCCCCCTGTCTTCCGGAGCCTTGAGTGGATCCCCAGTGGCCCTGGAGATTCTGGCTGCTGCATTCCAGGCTTCAGCTCCCTCCTCGTCTCCCTCCTAGCCAGAAGACAGAACGCAAGAACGGTTCTGCCAGGACCTGCTGCGCAGCAGACTCCCTGCAGACTGGCTCCTCTCTCGAGCACAGTGACTTCGTGGACATCACACTAGTGGCATCTCTGGCCTAGAGATATCACCATGGTGGGAAACCAGGTCCAGTGAGGGACAGTGGCCTGGCTCAACACCACGCATCGTGACCTTCTTTCCTCCTCTTATTACCTACAGTTTTCCAAAACTTTATAGGACTCCACATGTGAAACACGGCCCGTATCAGTGGCCCAGGATGCCTGAGTGACCTAGAGGCTCAGAAGTGACCAGGTGGCACTGGGAATGGGGCACATGCTGCAGATACTTATCTTGGAGCTGCATTTTTATTCAGAGAGAACATTTTAAAGTTAGACCGCCAGCCTCTGGGGACAGCACAGGTTGGGGCGAGATAGGAGCAGCCTTGCCATTGCCTGCACAGACCAAGCCCCTTGTCGGCAAAAAACAGAGCAGTGCTCTCTGAAGGTGCTTTTGTTCACATCGTTCCTCAGGGGAGAAGTGTGTCAGTTCTCAACATTGTCCAGAATATAGCTATAGCAATTCCATAGGGTGTGACGTGCGGGAGGGACTTCAGGAATGCCACAGAGATCTGGAAGAAGCTCAGCATCCCAGGTCCCGGCAGAAGGACCAGCTGATAGGAGGCCCTGCCTCATCAGCCACTTCGAGGCAGTGACATCTAGGGCCACACAGAGCCCCCACCAGGGAACTACAGGGCACAAGGAGTGGTCCCGGCTCATTTATGACCAAAGAAAGCACGCAAAGCACAGCAGTCAGAAGTAGACCCTGTATTGTGGCTTTGGAGAAGCTGTGTGCCCTTGCATAAGTCACCCAACCTTGCTGAGTTTCCATTTCCTTATTTGTCCGTGAGGAAGGCCGATAGCAGGTGCCTCCCAAGTCGTGGAGGACACCGTGCGGCACAGTGCTTGAGAAGCTAAGCTCTGGCATGGTGCCAGCAACAGAGGAAGAGCCAGGTGTTCAAGAGGACATGTTCTCATCAGGCTGGTGGCCATCACAGGGCCCACTGCACTCGCTGCTGCTGCTGCAGCCCCTCCCCACCTGTGCGCACCTCAGGGCTGGACTCAGAGGACCAGCCCACACCGGGCGCTGCCACTGCAAGTGTCACTCTTCTGTCCAGGGGACCCTCAGACAGCCCAGGGCTGCAGGCTCCAGCCCCTTACACGGGAGTCTGCCCTGAGTCAAGGTCTTGCCAGAGCATGGAGCAGGAGCAGCTGCCAACTCCCTTTGGGGACAGAGATTCTGCGACCAGCAAGTCTCCTTCCCCAGCTCTGCCCAAGTCTGAGGCCCCAGCCCAGGTGCATCCTCCCGCCTCCCTTCCACCAAGACACTGCAGCAAACTTTAATCCACTTCTCACATCTGTCCCGGAAGGTAGGACAGTGACAGCTCCGTGTTGAAGAGAAGGCAAGTGAGCCCCAAAGAGGAAAGGAGGTTTGCTCAAGGACCCTGGTCAGCAGGCCTCTTGGGATGGGTCTCAAAAAGTGACCTAATCCTTATTCTACCATTTATCTTTTTTTCAGCCAAATCAAGACAGTCTGATAGCTTAGATAATTCCCCACCACTGAAATCGCTGTCTCTCATCCCAGTCGCCTCCGTGTCGCCCATTACCACCTCCTCGCTCCGGGAGCCCGAGGAAGCCGAGTCCTCGTGCAGCTCCCCTTGGTCCCAGTGGACCAGAGCAGAGCAGCACACTGGTAAACGGCGCCTCCTCTTCACTTTTACCCCTGTGAGCCCCTAGTGTCTCACTGAGGGGGCAAAGCACCTCCTCAGAGGTGGCTTCTGAGCCTGGTGCCCTCTCGCAATGTTCCCCGAGGGGCACAGCTGAGGCACCCATGGGCCTCCAGCACCACTTTCATCCGCACTCCTGGCCCTCAGCTTGCAGCTTCTGATCTTCAGAGACGCTTTCTTTGGACGTGGGGAAAGAGCAAGTGCTCTGGATTCTGATGAGCCAGAGTCCCCTCCTCTCTGGTCCCTCCCTTGCTGTGTGACTGAGCATGCCACTTCTGTCTGAGCCTTGGTTTTCAATCTGGAGAATGAGGGTAAATAATCTCCGAGGGCCACGGAAAGGATTTCAAAATGTGACGCACCTAAGGCACAGCCTTACCCTAAGTAAGGCCACATTAAACCTCCGCTGTCCTTTCACCTAAGAAGCTGGCGTGAGGAAGACCAGCTACTGTGTATCAGGCTTGGTTCTAAGGCACTACATATATCGTTTCGTTATATTCACCACTAGGCTGTGGATTGATACTATCATTTCCCCGTTCTTACATATGAGTAAATTAAAGTTCAGAGAGGTCAAATGACTTGCTTCAGGTCATACAGCTTGACAGCCTCATTCTGACCGTGGAGAGAAAGGTGCAACGTAGGGCTAAATACATAGTACTTGGAGCTCAAAATAAGTCATTTCCTAGACGTGGGGAAGATCCAGAAGGCGAGGCAGCAGGAAAGAGAGCCTGGCGTTCCCGGAGGCACGTTAAAGGGGAGGGAGCTCTCGGTCCAGGGAAGCAGCGCTGTGGAGGAAAGGGCCCGGCCGCGCGGCGGCGGGGCGCAGGCCGGGAGGCGTTACCTTGG